ATTTATTAAAATGGCAAAGGTTTTAAAAATGGACCATTTTCACTGTAACTATACCTAAAAAGCAGCATCAGCATACTGTTAAAATTGGAACCTAAAAATCACACTGCATTGCAAACAAAAATTGTCTTTAAACATGAATAGGATTATACACAATTTGGATAATAGATCCCCTTTAAAGATGTCGGCCCGTAAAGACTGAAATCATTGGGATTAGAGGATAAAGGATGATTTTAGAGGATATCTGCTCATTGGCATTAGTGAGATAAATGCGTCAAACCAGTGAGCTTTTTAGCAAATCATTTTCATCTGACATGAGAAATACAATCAGATAGCTGTCTCTCAGTCTATCAAAGTATTAGCTTCTACAATCCAACTCTAAAATCTGGGTTTCTTTTTCAAAACCAGGGAGTGGACATAAGTGCTGAAGGCAATCAAATGTCTTTTTTTCCACCATACCTTTTTTTATGATGTATTACTCAATCCTTAATCTGGATACTTTATCGAAAACTATTGAAGAAACAATGGCGCACATGTATGAACTGGCATTCCGACGTACTGTCAGTACACATTACACTTAATGTGCTTAGCCTATAAGTGCATGATGGATGGTCAGCTCTGTGCACCTGCCATGACACATTATTAAAAGGGGATGATTGTGTGATGCATATTTTTGGAATTAAAGAAATTTTGCTTAAAGGTCGTGCCCCCCGTACAGTGAGGCTACCTGACCCGGCAAGGGTTAATGGTCATATAGGTCTAGGGTATTGGGAAAAGCAGGCTTTTTTTACCTGATCCACGCTCCTCCAGCAGTCGGTGCTCATCTCGGCTCCCCTTCGCTTCGTCTTGTGCACATTTCCTCGGCATCCTCATGCATTGTACTTGATGGCGTCAGCGGATCTCTGACCGCTAGAGCATAGGGGGGGAAGAGGATGCAGATGCTGGTCTTGGAGCCAGTGGTAGCAGAGATCAGTTAAGTAAAAGTCCCTTTTCCAGATACCCTAGACCTAAACGGGCATTGAACCCTTGCAGTGCGAGGGGGGGTCAGGGGCAAGGAGAGTTTTGTGTTTTTGCCAACATTTAATTTGCTACAGGACTTTGAGGTGGGAACATTTAATGATGTTACTCAGCAGTTCACATGTGCAAATTGCATGCCGATATCTAACCAATAACCTTTAGGTATGTTTTTATTGCGCGGCCAAATAACGATTTTCCGCCTTTTTTCTTTGTTGTTCATCAACTGTAAACACTTATATAGGAAAAATAAAATAAATATTAACAACCACACTCAAAAAAAACTGTTCTCAAAAATGTTCCCTTGTGTATCATAAACAATTTCCATTTGTATTTTTATTTTTTGCTGTGGAAAGTATTGTTTAACCTTTTTTATCCTTTATTACATGTCAGTGTTGCCGATTTCCCCCAACCTCTTTCAGCCACTTCCTGTCTACATGCACTCACTCCAGCATTGGCTGCATGTGACTGCTATGGACAGGCTTCCTGATGGTGATAAGGGTGGACCATGCCTACTCAATGTAGACGTGGCCTTTTGTAATCTCCACCAGCGGCACATGCAACAGGGTTACCACGTAGGAGCACAATTGTCACCCCATAACAGCAAGATCCTAAACAACGACCTTCATTGTAGGATCAGCATATTATTATAACTAAGGTATCATATTCTGAGTGCCTGTTGCACTATTACGTTGGAGTAATGCGTAGATTACATGCGTTGGAGCTTTGTAATGGCATTCAATAGGAAAGACACCTTAACACACAAAGTGCACATGTGTTCAGCTTTTCAAAATGCAGGCCAAACCCGCATAGTATGTTGCAAATTAGGTGGCAGGCCTGATTTTTGGGATGTCTTCATTCATTGGCAGCCTATTATTTTCAGTGGGCTGCCCTAACACAACACATGTTAGTGTGCAACATAACTCATGTTAAATCATTAGTGTCTGATGCTTTTTATACACTAGAGCCAGTGTATTGCATTTTTCCTTAGATTAATTGCATGTGTTTTATTAAGGAAAAGTCTTACATCTCATAAATTATATATATTGCACTAAATTATATAAACCTATCCATCCTGTTGTCCATTTGTGCTGGATAATGACCAAGACAACAAATTCATGATGAGTACAAAAGGTGGAAATAAGGTTACTCAGCAGGCTTGCTGGGATAACTCTCGATGATAGAATGAGAAGTTCAGTCATCCAGGAGCTAGTTAGAGGACAACAGCTGTTCCCTCTGAGAGGTGCAATCTAAGGTGTATAAAGATGAATTTCAAGGAAATGGCTAAATACACACTTCAAATAGAAATACTGTAGGTGAATTCTGTATTATAAATAGACATGTGCACTGCCAAAAAATTTGTTTAGTTTAGTTTAGTTTTAAATTCGGATTTGTGTTATTTCGTTTTTCGGGATTCGGGTGTGAAAGTCAATTCAGATTCGGAATTCGGATTCGGACGAAATTAGTTAGCGGTAGTTCGTTCGAACGTTCGCTTCGTTTTCGTTTCTTATTCGTTTCGTTCATCCGTTCGTTTGTTTTACAGCAAAGTGGCATTGGAGGGGGAAAAATGTTTTTCTCCTTTGCTCCAACGAACGAAACGAAAACGAAACGAACGTTCGAACGAACTACCGCTACCGAATTTCGGAAACAGAAATTCGGATTCGTTTGCATTCGTTATATCTGTAATTCGGAATTCGGATACATCCGAATTTCCGAAAATTCGTCCGAATTTCGATTCGGAACGAAACGAATCGCACATGTCTAATTATAAAGCAGTGAATGGGATTGCACCAAACATGCACTGCAGGTGAAACTTTCTGTTGCATGTTTTTAACATTTCATTGATTGATTTATCTGCAGTGAGTTTTTGGTGAATGTCACATGGCAGATTTTGGCAGATTTTCTTGATCTGAAATATCTTTGTGTGGTCACTTGAAGGCACCCTTCATATTTATGCATTATAACGTAGGTGAAACAACACATCCAAAAGAAGCTTGTTACTTGGCATCCTATTGTGTTCAGTAGGTCTGGTCAACTAATATACATGGCAACACATCATAGAAAACAATTAAGGTACGTTTTTTAATCCTCTGACTCGTATCTATAGAAGTCAATGAGAACTCATGAAAATGAACGATACATGTGTTTTTACGTGCTTACAATGCAGCACATAAAAATCAGTTTGCACAATCTCCTATAGATGCACCAACAACTATGTAGTGCAAGGGCCTGCCTGATTGGATACAAATTAAGTGGATAGACTAGATAGGTCCTCATATTATATAGTTTTGGTAAACCTAAATTTGATTGTACAGTGATATTGTAACATGAGTGGTATTATCCTGTGTACTCACTGGAAGTTCACCTTAGATCCTGGACATCCTAATATGTAAGATTTGCCCTGACACGTGGGTCAAGCTGTGTATGGATAGTTATGTGCCATTCCACCACAAAACTGCAAATAGAACATTTTTCCATTGGCATCAACAATATTTTTTGCTGGCCTGTGATTTTCAAAGGGCTTCCTTTTACAAAGCTGAACTCGATATTCTGATTAACTGTAAAATCTCAGGAGACTGTGTGCATGAGCACTATTACTTTGTGGGGAACTTACTACAATTAAGGTGCTATTAGCTAAAATGTACATAGACTGACAGCCAGCTATATGATATACCACACTTTAATACTACTGAACAGATCTTCTTTGTGTGATTTTGTTCTTTGAGTTGGTGCGAGTATAGGTTTTCATGACTAAACCCATTAATTCACAATTAGCCATTTAACCGAACTGTAATCATTGTTAACTGACTTTGTGTACAGGTCCCAGGTGACATCTCCTTATTCTGGTCGATGACAGCTAATCTTACTGTCCTACTTACTCTTTATTTAAATCGCCTGTGTCATATAAACTATGAAATATTTCACATCTTGTATAATTTAATGCAATAAGGTTACAGCACAGATTTAGAAAAAATAATGTATTTAAAGTATATGTAAACCCAATTACTAAAATGCCATACAATCTTAAACATGTACAAGGTAATTTCTAACTTAATTTAAAATATTTTCAAATATGCAGCCTCCATTGCAATAATACCGGGTGATTCTGGTAAAGTCCTTGTGCAGGCACTTCCTGTTAAAAGATGTCTCTGCCATGGTCTTCCAGTTGTCATCCTGTGCTCAATGGAGACTAGTAGGAACAATAGACTCCTAAATAACTCAATATTAGTAAATGTAGACACTCCTGGGTCTTCAACAAGTAGTAAATTGTAAAAAATTGACACATCCTATTTTAAATATTATATTTGGAACTGACCAAAACTACATTTTCAATTAGGTTTTACATGAAATGGTAATGTTTGGTATAAAGCTGATGATGGAGTACCCTCACATTTGTGCTTTATGCATCCATTGGGCATTTTTAATGAAAATATGTGGTGTGGGTGCATAGTGTGAGTGGTGTGGATGCAGAGGCCAGCACTGTCCCTGCATTCTCTTGCATTCATATGCAAATCACAAATGAAACAACCATGAAGGCATTCCCTGTCAGCCAGCTGACCTGTTGGAGCTCGGGCCCAGTACAGGAAGGCTGCCTGTACCCATCTATCCTGCCTGACGTCATTGGCAATGACTGAAGCGAGGGGGGCCTGCACTGGTTTATGGCTGACAGTGGATGTGCCAGTCTCAGAGGCTGGAGTATCCACTATCAGCCAGCCATAACCAACCGCAGGTCGGCGATCCCGGTCCGGACAGAACCGCCACACGGTCCATGTCGGGACCACAGTCCTCCATTCAGGGACAACTGGTTTAGGCTACACCTAAACCATGGTAGGACAATTACACCGGCATTTTCCTTGTGCAGGTCAGAGAAGGCAAGCTAAATGCTAAATGTGGATAACAGCTGTTTCTTATTTCACTGAGTTATTATAAATACAAAATAAATACAATAGATTGAATGTTACGGTCTCTGAAAATAATGAGTAATTATTACCAATTATTTTTTTTAGATATATGAAGAATAAGAGATGAATTTGGAGCAGGACCGGTCATATGTATGCAATGCTCCTGGTTGCTCACAGGTAAGTTTCCATGACATGACATAATTTCCATGTTGGGCATTAGTTTTCTTCCATGTCACAGTGACACCTAGATTCCTAATGCATGGACAAGCTGCATTTTTATAAATAATGTTTCAGTGTACAAACTAGTTGTCTGCACTTTGTAGACTCGTAACTCCACACATAGCAAACACTAAAGTCTGATGATGCCATCTATGCCCTTACTGGACCACACCAAGTTTCTTTGGTAAACACCACACCTTGGACTCGGTACAGTAAACTCCCAATTATCTGGCATTCAATCAACCGGCACTCTTGAACAATCGGCCGAAAAATTGCGTGTTTATAACACTAAAGCTGTACTAAAATGCAGTGAAAGCAAGTACACAGTTAAAACTTTCCTAATAGAAATATACGGCTACTTTCTATTCTCCATAGCGATCATTTGGTTTTTTTCCACCCTCTCACCAGCATAGAAACACTAATTTTCATATGAGATAGTTAATAGTTTCTAACAGAGGCAGGATATATGCACTCTAATGCAGTAAGTTGAAGCAAACAGCCTGCCAATTTGATTTAATTACATTTTATTACAACTACAATATTGCAGTCTACTTTATTTAGGGGTCAGACAGCCAAAATGTATTTTTTTTTCTCAAAGCTAAAGATTTCAAGCTGAACTCAATGGAAATATAGAAAATACAAATTATTGCAGTTATGTATTCGTTAATAAATGCTTAAATTACTTTTTTAAATGCTGCAAGTGTAAGTTCTTAAATTTTACTTGATATCTCTATAAGTCTCCTGTAATCCTATGTTCAATAGCAGTTAAAGGGTAGAGGGAGAGGCACCACTAGGAGTCACAGGTATCCTACGTGTAAACATACAAGAAAATATCACGGTTTTCTCCATCATGAAAAGGTCCCTTTAAATTAATTTTTAAAGTGTCATTGTTTGTTTTAAAGCACTGTACTACTCAGACAACTGAGTGACTGCTTCAGGCTATTGTACTCTAATCAATAGTGACCTCATAGAGCTGCCAATGGTTTACTTAGCCTCCTCTCCCTGTGATTTGTTGTGGTCACCAGGAAAAAGGATTAGCATTGCATAAATACTATTTAAAACAATCATGTTAAGAAGACCTGGCAGATTGATGTTCTTAAACATATTCTAGTTGCCAATATGGTTGATTTATTATATCGGTGAGGCAGAATTGTTAGCAGAGTTTTGCCACAATTATCTAACAGTAATAATTTTAACAGTACTGTTATGTTGGCAGACACTGCGAGTTAGGAGGTTGGCAGAATTCTAGCCTTTTAGTGTATTTCTATATAAATGATTTAAAGACTGAGTATATAAATTTCACCATGTTCTTCAAAATGCAATGTTAAGGATTGTTGTGGCATGCATGAGTTCATAAAGTAAGAATGAAAAAGTTTTATAAAATGTATTAAGCCGTTATAATAATAGAATGAAACAAAGCATATATCGCAAAGCATTTTCCCACAAGACATACTGTTAAACAATTTGATTAAAACAAATCTGTTACCTCTGCTAAAATAGAACTAAAAGCAATATTAAAGTGCAAAGTGCTACAAAAAACAAAAAGGGATAAAAGAATGCTAACATGCAAATGGTCTGGCGTCCACCTGGGTACTACATAATGAATCTTCACACAAACCCTTCCTATCGGGGTTACCATATACCTGAAAAGCCACATTCTATAACAAAGTGCATAATTTCTATTAATAAAAGCAGCTAAAACCACAAAATACATTCTGGCGAGACTCATCAAGTGAAAGTAGTAATAATAATGTACATGTACACAAATGAATAGTGATTGCTCTGTGTAATAGTATTTGTATTCAATATATACCACTAACTTCAAGTCTCCACATGGATGCCAACTGTGGAGACTCAAATGCACAACAGGTTGAGGAACACAACCAAATATGCAATTAGATTAAAAATTCCCGATGTATTGGTCAATACATTCACCACCACATTGTTAATGCTCTTTCCTACTGATGTAGGTCTCCAGGGTTGATGACTGATATGGAGAAAACAAACCGTAATAAGTTCTGTCCTGGGTCCTTGAATCTGGAAGCTTTTTAGAGCTTTGGGTGGGAAAAACCCTCCAGCCTCCATTCCTAGGTCCACATCTTACCTGGTACTCAGACCACATTATTAGTCTCAGTTGTTCACAAGCCTTTATATAAGAGCTGACTGATGCACAGGCCTCTCTCTCTTGCGCTCTCTGCTATGGGAGCCTGCTGTTGTGTGAAAAGAAGTGCTTACTGATCACTAAAAAGGTGTCTGTTTTTGGAACCCATTAGAGGGCACCCTGTTAGTAACTGCTATGAGTTTAGTTAGTGGCTTTGACGAACAGATGTTTTGTTTGTTTTATGCTATCGACTTCTTGTACAAAGCCCTCTTTCATAAAAACTGTGTTTGTTTGCTGTGTTGCTGAAGGACAAACTGCTTGGACTGTTTCTGGCTGTCCCTATCTCGTACCAATATGAGTTGACCCTGCCCCTTATAATATATATACACTATATGTGTATATAGTTGCCAGTAAAAAACAATGGGGCCCCACACATTCTTTCTGACAACCACCCCCCTCTTCTTCCCGTCCCTCCCCATGCTCTATATGCCCTCGTCGATATAGTTTTTGGCTTGGAAATTCTGTTGAATATTTTTTAGCCAGTCTCTATTTTTTTTTGTAGATAAGTATAGCATCATGAAAGCTTCATGGGTGCATAAAATGTATGCTTATGTGATACCAGCAAAGGACTATATTGGGTTGGATCACACATGCATGTCTAAAGTCTATGGCTAGCCCAAGCTTTACCATTGGTTTTTGAGCATTTATGCATGTGACATGATGTGATTGTCAGCTGAAATAATACTTTTTCAAAGTCTTACCATTGCATAATGAATGATTGGAACTGTTTAGGTAAGCTAATCTTGTTTCATCTTCTCACTGTATAAATGACCACAATCACCTCAGTTAACAAAGACAAGATTGCTTCCACTGTTCTTCCCTGGCTGTAGGCTGTCAGCTCTTCCTTCATATTGTCCATGCCTAATAAGTAAGTAATTGATTTAGAATTCTTTCTGTAAGTTAACACCCACTGTAAGTAATTTCTGGTTACTTATTCATGTCTTAGAAGACATCAAGTGATTGTGTTACCTCCACAGCTCAAAGAGGCAAGGATTTATTACACGCTTTACATATATGTATGTTTTATCTTACAGCGGTTCCCCACCGAGGATCACTTGATGATTCACAGGCATAAGCACGAAATGACCTTGAAGTTCCCTTCAATAAAGAATGATAACATTCTGTCAGGTAAGACATAGCACCACCTAATTTTTTATTTGGAAACCTATGTTTTGAATAAATGTAAGCATTTGTGTTGCTAAAGAATAAATTTACGTGTAAACTAACCGCTATTTGGGCTTGTTTGGTTTGTATGGGTTACCTCGCTGCACATCCTTATTAAATTATAATTTATTTCTGTTTTGTTCTTGTTTTCTTTTTGTGGTGTTTTAATATCTTGTTTTGTTAGTTCCAGCGTTAGAATCAGCACATTTTAGTTTGACACTTTCTATAAAATAAATACTATTCATGAATATTTCAACAATTCATTGTTATTTCATAGAACAGCAAAGCTTTCTTTCTCCAGGTAACACACTTTAGGCTTTTGATAGTGATCCTGCAGACTTATATCGTAGGCAGTTTCAAACTGAGAATGAAGGGTGGAGAGATATACCCAAAAATCCATTAGTGTGCCAGGACCTGTTGCATGACGCTGACTGACAGTGGCGTAAATGTAGTACTTTGATCCTCCACTATTCTACACAAAAGATGTACATAGGGTCACGCCTAGTTAGAGAGGAGTTATCCAACAAGTTGTGAGATCTTGCTGTGGAATAGTAAGATGTAAGTGCTTGTTACAGCTCCCTGGTAGGTTATAAACAATCCAACTATTAAAACTCTAATTAGGGAGCATCATTTGCTATGATTGGGCTGTTTAAAGCCAATCCGACTCAAACAGGATGTTAGTCAAGTTCCATTGCATTTTCCCACTGCCATTTTTCACTACAAATTTAGAGTGATCCTGTCACCACCTAACAATTTGCAGGCAGCTCATATATTTAAAATATAAAATTGGTGACTACTATGCTGTGCTTGACTTACACATTGGGTATGCACTCAAACATGTGTATATATACTGGAGAGAGAGAGAGAGAATACAATATACATATTCACTATGCTGTGTGATATGTGACATCAGCTGAGACTGAACAGCAGAATCTAGACTCATTACGGTCACCCCTGGCATTCTACAGGCTCTCATCCTCACGCAGTTCAAAGTGGCCTTTGCATGTCAGATGGCAGAAATATATTGAGAAAACTCTGTGCGCCACTGTCACTGTAGGTGTACAGGATGGAGACTGAAAACTGATTATGTCTCTTGTCACCCTGAGATTACATCACTTCCACTATAGGTCTTACCTACCTCAAGAGGTTCACTGCGACCTTCCTGGTGCCACGTTGCTTCTGTCCCAGATTCTGAAGCAAAAAATTCAACTGCATTCAAATGTGTAGTTAGCTCTTTACCTGGAGCTTGGCTATAATTACCTGCTCTTTATATTAATATTTCATAACCTCTTAAAGATCTTTGCTCTTGCCACAGCCTGCACATATCTCACTTCATGATAACCTATAAAGTCATGTCCCTCTGACTGGATTATGCATATCAACTATGAAGTATCACTACGTTCTAAAAATCTGTCTTGAACCCCCCAAAGGACTAAGTGGGTGTAGCACCTGGTCCCATTTTTTTCCATGGCCCTGTTGTGTATTAAAAGACATTTTTTTTTAATTCTGTCTTTACTGGCAGAATGGGACCAAGTGCTACATGCTTTTGGGGCTTTTGGCCCCTTGGGGGATTTAACTCAGATTTTTCGAATGTAGTGATACTTCTTGTTTAAACATATTAAACAGAGAAAAGTAATTCATAAGAAGCAGCTCTATATGTAGCCAAGCAAAGCCAGTAGGTAAACGTGTAGTTGTGGGAAGGAGTGTTTGTTTGGGAAACTCCCTGCCACTGTAATGAGAATTAAGAGGGTGACTGAACCAACTGGAGTCTATATTAAACTGATATGTGAGTTATTAGCAGATTTATATTCATACAACCATTTTTTGCAATTTATCACAGTGTCTCAAGCATGACTCGACACAGTCTGTCATACCCCATAGCCAGAAATCAGATGCAAATGTTCATCCTCATACTGTCACCTTCAACTCCAGATTTCAGTTTGAAGCAAGACAGACTTGAGACAGTTTTCCCCTCAGACACTTTCATAAATAAGGCCAATTTGTGCCTGAACTATGTGTTTGTCCGTGTGTTTTGTTTATTATGTGTTTTATGGATGATGGATTACTTTGGGCCATTGTTTGTTTTTTATCATACAGTACTTTTAAGAACACCTTGTAAGATTGGTATGTAGGTTCATTAAAACATATCACGTCCTATAAAATAACTTATTTTTTTCTGAGCCCTTTGTGACTGTAAACATGCATATATAATACTCTCCTAAAAACTTATAGGGGTTTCTATTTCCAATGAAACCAGCATTTCTGATTTGCAAGCAGTTTGCGTCTTTATACGTACGTTTTGAATTTTGAAACTGTTGCTCAGCATCGCATATCCATTTGAATCCCTACAATGTTTGCCAAGTGTCTTGGCAAAGTTACGTGCAAAAGAACAATTTGTAGCATGGACCTGTAACTTACAGCAGTTGAAAAACCCATTTTGTGTGCTGTGGCCTATAAATAATGGCAGATTTACTGCATGCATGGAAGGAAAAGCTTAACCCATTGTGTTTTTGAAGCCAAAAGCTTTTTTTAGTTCTTGATTGATTCGTTAAGAGTCCCAAACTTTAAGTTTTTATTGCTGTCTGTGTGCTCGGTGGGGACATTTACTCGTATTTTGATTCCTGCTGACATCAGGACAAGAAATGAGAGGATGTGGGTGTCTGCGGTACAGAAAGAGACAAAGAACAATAAAAAACCTGATTTGGGGTTTAGCCCCTCCCACTCTACTAATTAAAAATGTAATTGCTGCTGTCTCTGTCCCCATCAGAGAAATATCCCATCATTTCCTGTGCTAGTTACACCATGTCAATGGAACAGGGAGGAGGGTAAATTTCCCATTTGAGGAGGACACAGAAAACTTTAAAAATATTGTAAATCCATCCTTCTTACAAAACCTAAGCAAGCCTTTTGGCTGCAGTTAGGGTTCAAAGGTAAATGACTACTTGTCTGGTTACATTCCTTTTAGGGCCATCGCATGGACAGGAAGTTAGGAAAGAGCTTCCTGTGGGGGTCACTGACAAAAATAAAAACCTGACAGAAGTGAGAACTTTTCTCTTAGTCTGTCCTAAACCAAAAAAGTTAATAAATTGAGTTAAAATGTAAACAGTAACAATGAACTTCTCTAATTGTCACCTTTTTCTTCTGGTAAATATACCATTAAATGCTTCGTACCTGATAAGTGAAAAAAATATATGTTTATCCTGCCAGAAATCAAATCTAATGAGGTGATCATTTCCTGTTCGCTCTGCCTCTGTTGACTGTTATCATAAAGCATTGTTCACTGCTCTCTCTGTGACTATAGATCACTTCCCCATGTGTTATCGAGAAGAGGCAAAGGTGTTCTGTCGCACATGGAGCGAGCAGGATACAATGCTTACTGATAACAGCCAGCAGAGGCGGGGAGAGCAAAGGAATTTATCAGCTCACTAGATTTCTTTCAGAATCATTAGGTATTGTTGCAATTATCAAACAGATACAACAAAACACCTCCCCCTATGATATGTAAAGAAGAAAGATGGAGGTGTTCTGTAGCCCTGACCGCTTCCTGTCGTAGGGTGACGATGTTGATCTTCCATAGATACAGTATGGTGGGTGAGCATTGTTACCCTAGGACAGGAAGTATGTTACTGGCATGATTAGTAGGTAAAAATAAAGGGAAAAGGCCTGAAAAGATTAATGCAGCCACCACATGTAAAGAATGGTAACCTGCAATATATTTCATTTTATTCTTGGGTTTAGATACACTGTAAAACTTCACTCTGGGCTGCAGCAAAATGTATCCCCAGGACTCGGCACTGCATGGGTAAATTCTTATAGTAACTAGCAGGGGCGTAACTAGAAATCACAGGGCCCCATAGCAAAATCTGAGAATCCCACTTGATAACGCCAACAGCCCACCTGAGGGTGACCCTGCAGAGCCCACCATAGACTCTCTACGGTGAGCTCTGCAGGGACTCAGGTGGGCGGTCAAGCCCTCTTACCTGTCTGGCCATCCTCTGTCTGCCTCCTTCTCCTCCACAATCGCTTGCGGGCCCCGCCTCCTCCATCACTGGGCCCCACCCCCTCGATGGACGGACCCGCCTTCCCATCGCTAAGACCTCCCTCCTCTATCGCTGGCCTCAGCCACCTCCCCCGAAGCTGCTGGATGTCATCGACTCAGCAGCTGTGAGGAGGTACGCGCCGCTGCACATGTGAATGGCTGCGTGTTTCTCCTCACAGCCGCCAGTGACAGCCAGCAGCCTGAAATGCCATAGCGACCGAGGTGGCCCGGACGGCATCAGGGGGATGTCCTGGCTGGGCCCCCCTGTGCCCCGGACAAAGATCAATGGTGATTGTTACGCCACTGGTAACTAGAGTCTTGATTCTTAAACTATGGGTCCTATAGACTATTTGCAGGGGGGGGGGGAGCACTTCTTGGGCAGATTTAACACCAGCCCAAATGAGCTTTAAATGTTGGTAGATTCAAGCCTGGCAAAGCAGGCTGTATGAGCAGAGAAGGTGGAACGTAAGCCGGAGTATATTTTATTTTCAGGCAGATATGTAACAGAATTTAATTTTAACAACACTGATGCTGAAAGAGTGAAGTGTAAGAAAAATTCATTTTTGGTCTAGCGCTGCAAGTGCAAATCATCCGAGTCTGAAATTCTGGAAACAATTTGAAAAGTATCACCTTCATGGTACAGGTGTAAATTGAAATGTGATGGTTTGTATAAATATAACAGTTTCACTTGTTTTCTTTCTCTTGCTCTCTTTCTCCTAGTAATAGTTTTGAATAAAATGTGACGAAAGCAGCTGTGTGACTGTAATATATTAATATTATTAATTGAAAATGGAATTATTTTTAAAGATTGCAGCACTGGTACTGTACTTTTTCCTGAAAAGCATATGGTGTATTTCACTGCTTGTCATTAACAATTACTGAATTACACACACTTGGTATTATGGATAACCATATAAACTGCAAGCTGGTTTATTTTAAATGGATGAAATGTTTTTTCATGAATAAATAGGTAATGATAATGCAGTTCATTTTTGTAGTTGATCCACAGCCACATACCTTTTTTTTAAAAAAAATTAAGGATTTATTCCCACTAATACTTACTTTAATTCATGGTTGCACAAGAGCCATGCTCCCCGATCTTCAGTGTTGGAATGGGGGTTGGATCTTCAAGCACCACCCACGACCCAGCCTGAGGGTGTGGACATTGGTCCGGAACTGATGAAGTGCTTTCATGATGACGTCCACGAGAAGGGTGGCAACAACACCAGTCACAGACTGGCATGCAAAGAGGCTTCAGTAGACTGTCACAACCAGGACTGGTGGGGTAGAATTTCATGGTACCACAGGTTGAGGTGTGTAATAGTAGGTGTTAGAACCTAGAAATCACTTAAGAGCATAGAAATGCAATATCAATGTTTTTTGTTACGTAGTTGTAGTTGAACTGAACAGCTGGTCCCCTGAGCATCCTGACATCCTGTTTTAGGGTGTCTTCTTTCCCTTGCAGAGCCCTATAGAGCCACTCCCTGCTCTTTCTTCCTCCTTCCATCCTTCTCCAAGCTAGTAGATAGGTGGCTGCTGGAGATGGCTCTGTCCCTTGGGAACTTATACTAGACAGGAAGTTCAGGGAAGCCAAGCTGAGAGAGTTGGAGCCTGCTGTTTGGAAACATGGCGACTTTAAGTACTCCAGCATAAATGTAAAGAAATACTTTTCTGGGCAATGTATATTTGTTTGATCTGGATTAATGATTGAAAAATAATGTTTGAGATTTTAATACTATTTTAAGATATTAAAGGTAAATGTGGTCTTGTGGTGAACAAGACACCTACCGTTCTATCTAATAATATCAATAAAGGTTGTTGCCAAATACTAATTGCATGCCCCGTGTAGTGTAAAATGCCTGAAAGCATCAATCAGTAAGAGGCAAAATCAGAAACAATTTTAGGTACTTCATGTTCTGTACATTTATGAGTACCTTTGTATGCATATTTGGAAACATAATCTAAGATAACTATTGTACTCTGTTTTTGTGGGTGCATAAGTTTGCTGGTCCATCAAATAAATATTAGTGCACCTTTGTAGTGAAAAATGAAACAATTTTTAAATTAACTGCATTCTATGCAGATTGCACCAATTAGCTTGATGTACATAACTATGGATCTTGCTCATTCCTGATATAATATATCAATTTGCTGCTTGTTACCTAAAAAGTGTGTATGTTTATGGAGCTGGAGTGGAATTGTTGCTGTGTGGTCAGGTTCATGCCACAATGGATACCAGTACATTAATTTTGGCTAGAGATAGTGCTTATCTTCCAATGTCAGTTGGGTTAACTTTATTTAAAATTAATCTGTTCTGTTTTGTGACCTCACTGCATACCCCATAGGTCCATAAACACTGTCAATGTGTTGCTCCTGTGCTTCCACAAGGCCAGACATTCTATTTAATGTGAACGATCTAGCAGCTGTGCCTGTTATGGGTTTATAAAACTCCAATTCCATAATTCCAGAGATATTTCATTTTAAGAAACCATTTAGGGTATGATAACAGGTTTCCTTAATAGGCCGAACCCCCTCCACCCTCTGACTGTAAAGCTTACCTTGCCTGTATAAATCCCCTCCCTCATAGAGCCAAGTCAAAAAGCCCTGTTGAAGCTTCGAGTCAACCTGGTTGGAGCTTTCACAGGACTAAGGATTATCCCCTGGCCCCAATGTGAGAACACTTATCCTTGTGATTAGGCACTGGGCACTGCATTTGGGGAGAAAGAGGAGAGCGTTACTTGCTCTGCCATAGCCATGAGTACTGGGTGTTTTAATTGGCCCCAGCATGCAATTGGGGCAGCATTAGATACATTGATATGAGTACTGTTTTTTTAAATATATCTTGAAAAAGCAAGTCAAATAATTGTATCACGCCACATCTGTATACATGCTGCCGGAACAGCTGCTTCGCCTTAGATTGTCTTTGGGTCGTGGAGAGCCCATGTGGCCTTAACAATTTTAAACCACCTAGTTTTAATACATGTAAATTAGTTTCAGCATGTACATCTGAACTTGCTCAGGTACCTTATTCTTTCAGTAGTCTAATATAAGATTATAATCTTTTTTGTGCATTCATGGTTTTAGCACATTTATATTATGTGCACAGATTGCACTGACATGTATTGTTTGCATGGGCTGCTTTTGCTTTCTTGGCCTGGTACAAGTGGCTGCAGGAATAGCCCTTCAATACCACACATAGCCATTTGAATAACCTGAAAAATCATACAGAAAACAGTCATTGTTTTAAAGGTTTCCTTTTGGCTAGTGTGTGCTAATGCTGCTTTAATCTGATGTACACTTGAAGCTTAATGACTACATGGATAGGGCATCTTAGAATATACGCTTTCTTCAGATTCTTATGTGACAAAAAAATGCATTGCTGGGTTTATTCTAGTAAAAAAAATCATACACATATAATGATGGTTCTCATAATAATGCGATCATTTTTTCACAGATCAGACACCGACTCCAACTCGGTTCTTAAAAAACTGTGAGGAAGTGGGGTTATTCAATGAAATTGACTTGGAACAGGAGTTCAGAAGTGCACAAGAGGAAGAAAACACAAAAAGGGTGAGCGATGCTGTAAATGTACATGTTCGTACGCTATGTAGCTGTCATACAAAAGATGCTGAAGCATTTGATCTGTACAACATCCGAATTTCATGTATGGATATTTCAAACAGTCATTTTTAAAGTAACAGTAATTCAATTCCTATCACTGGTCCTCCTGTGTCTTCCAAAAATCTCTGAGGTGTATACATTAGTTTTTTTTTGAGCTATGCTACCCAAAGTAGTCATGTGTAGGCCACAGTGGAAGATAGCTACTCATATCTCAGTTTAAAAAAAAGTGGATATAATAAAACAATGCTTTACTGTTTCATATACATATAGATTGTTCTTATTTGTTCTGTTTTAGAGTGTTATATATACAGTATATATTAAATGCAGTGTTGTGAAGGAGGAGCGTATGAAAAGATGATGATATACTTGGATATTTTGGAGGTATCATGTTTAAAGCAAACCTGTGCTTTGCCCAGGCAGAGGACAGCAGCATTTGTGGCACATACCCTGGCTTTCTTTCCTCTCATTCAGCTTTGTTCAGCTGCCAGGTATGAAGAAATTCCCCCCAAAAACGTTATTATGGGTCTGGAGGAGAACATGATTCACTGACCTTTGTCTCACATGACAGTGCTAATGCTTGGTCATTGGTCCAGTGCTTTCCCATAGGGTCAGGGAGAGTGTTTGGCTCCATTTAAGCTCCAACTAGAGTGACTCAGAACTTACACAGGGCTTTCTTTCTTCACTCCCGGCAGCTGTACAGAGCGGTGGGCGATTAAATAAGAGTTGAATATATGCTGCTGCGGAGAAGGGTGTTAAAACAAAACTCTTGTTCTACCTAGCTCTCCTTCTGGACGCTTCCATTCTATTTTCCTGGTAGCACAGCAGCAGTTAGGTGGTACAGGCTCAGTTGTCATTTAGCATCTCAGAATATTTCTATAAGTGATTCTAAAATGATCTACAATATAAAGAGAACTGGTCTTAATTGGGCTCATTCAGGGATTTAAATATTCCGATTTAATGAAAATAATATGGGTTAGCCCATGAAATATTCACAATTTCTTTCTTATTTAGCATAACTTGCTTTCCTCTTATTTAGCCTTATATGGCTCAAAGGTCATTTGAAGCCTGCCTGTGTCTGTCCTGCCAATTATCTGATCTCATATCTGGTTTCCAAGCTCTTAAAGTGATATTAAAGTCAAAAGGATTTTAAGCTATTTCAAATGCTGATTAAATCTATTACAATGAATGCTGCTCTTTGATGTTTAAAAGTTTTAGTTTTCTGCAGAATCAGCTGGTCTCCTAAGCACTGGCCCTGACTTCCTGTTTTAAAATATGCAGTCATCTTTGTTTGTGCTAGTAAGCTGTGTGTGTCTTCACAAATACACAGACACAGCAAATCAAGCTACTCCCCTACCCCTACCCCTGCCCCCCTCTTCTCCCTTCTCCAAGCTAGTAGATGAACAGTTGCTGGAGTCTGCACTGTCCTTTGTGATCTTGTACTAGACAGGACTTTCAGGGAAGCTGAGCTGAGAAACGTGGAAACAGCTCTTCAGAAACATGATGATTGTAAGTTTTTGGGCAAAAATGTAAAGTAAAGCTTTAGCTGGGCAATGTATATTTGTTAGATGTGGATTCATTATTGAAAACAAGTTTGAGAGTTTAATGCTATTTTAAGTATACATTACAGTATCATATAACAAAGGTGCAGAGTTGCTAACATTCCTTAGAATTACAGGGCTTTGTTATTTGACCCTGTTATGAACTCTCAGGAGAGCATGTGTGAAGCCAGGTAGTTGATGAGGAAGCAGTTGTCTGACTTCCGGTGAACTCTGGCACAGTTGAAGTATCAGGCTCTGGCAATGTAAGTAATGCTAGATAAGGGGGGAATTAAACATCCCTCAAGCAAGCTTCATAGTAAACACTGAGTATTCAGATTATTACATAAGGCCAGTTGTGACCAGATCTGTCTAAATTCCTTCCAGGAGAGGTGGAACTGACCAATAAAGGAATGGAACTTCACTATTTAAAGGTGCTCATGCTAAACCCCATGTGGCTTATTTGCTTTTCTATTAGCTAAAAAATATCCAAAAGCAGTTTTATAGGAAAGCTTTATATGTCAATAGGATCTGGTAAAGAGACAAGCCTTAAATGCATGGAAGAAATACAGATTGATAAATTCAGGCTGTGTATTTGATTTTTCTGGCCAGTCTATGAAAATCCAGATGGCATTGTTAAAAATAACAAGGTATGTATAGCCTGGACTAATGTTCTGTGCAAAATAAGGAGCGAACATTTAGTTTAGAATAATGTATTCATCTTGCTACAGGTGGTTAATATATGGCTCTCGTAGGACCACTGGGAACAAACATGAACACGTGCATTGGTTTTCATTCATCCACGCCTTTGCATGCTTAAAGTAAGCCTGTAACTGGAACATGTTACATGCTTTATAATTAGAACCACATTGGCGTAGACTTCTAGAGCTAGCAAAGCTTTATTTTAATTTCAGGTATTCATCCCAAATACTATTATGCTCAATTGTGTTTTCAAAATGTGTCTATGGGTGACTGAGTCTTGTAAATCATTATGTGACAGAGAAGGTCTTATTGCAGCAAAACTGCTTAGAATGACATTGTATTGCAGAGAAAGTTTACTTTGTTACTAGACTGTGATACCGCAAAACTTTGCAGATGTATTTTATTCTTCTTCTATTATTATCTCTCTCTCTCAACAAAATGTGTACAATTTAAAATGATACTTATACAATTTAAAGAGTGTTCCTTAAATGATAGTAACCCTTTTTTAATTCAGCACAGGAGGTCCACATATACTTAATAAGCTTACCTTTTTTTCTGTAAAAATTCCCCATTTTATTTATGTTTGGCTGGAGCGGGTCTCTCCTTTACCTAGCAGACTGCAAAGAAGACACCCGTGTGTGTGGGGTAGAAATTTGCGATTTGTTACATTCCGAATTGATATTCGTACAAATTTCTCTAAATTCGAATATTCAGATACATCCGAATTTCCGAATGACAGAAATAGTGAATCTGAACATATCTGAATGTTTGATAATGAAATTCGAATATATACGACTGTCATTCAGAATGAAACAAAGAAGCGGGAGAGCTGTGTGTCCGGTGTCTCTGCCTCTTTGCTGACATCGAGGACTCATATCCCGAATGTCAAAAAAGTATCAGAATGTTGTTGCAAAATGTAAACAAAGAAAGAAAGAAAAACAGCATGGGTTCCCCTCCCCAATTCATGCCAGACCCTTTAGGTCTGGTAGGAATGTTAGGGTGGACCCCCGATGCCCAAAAAAACAAAACGAGTGTGGTTACCCGCAAAGTCATACCAGACCCTTTAGGTATGGTAGGAATTTAAGGGGAACCCCAATGCTAACCCCCCTCCCAAAAAAAGCATGGGGTCCCCCCTAAAATCCCTTATCGGACCCTTGATCCGAGCAGCAGCCTGTTGGGGGAGAAAATGGGAGGGATAAGCAAGCGCCCCCCCTCCATGCACCATACCAGGCCACATGCCCTCAGCATTGGGAGGATGCTTTGCTGCCGACCATGCCGACAACACAAGGGCCTATTTCCCACAACCCTGGCCCAGTGGTTGTGGAGGTCTGCGGACAGGGGGGTCATCTGCATCTGGGTACCTCTTTTCATTAAGGGAGCACTTAGATGCCGCCTCCCTTGTGAATAAGTTGTTACCTCTATTCACCAAATACAGTAAAAAATTGTAAATAAACAGACAACACCTTAGAAAAAAAGTCCTTTATTAAAAAAAAAAACACAACACAAGTAACAATTCCTATTTTTGAAAAAAATGTCCAACGATGTCAATCCAGTGTTGATCATGATGCCCGGCGATGTAAATTGTGCCAATCTTGCCATTCCGACGCCCACCGGCCCGATGAAAAAAAAAAACACCCAGCGCTCGCTGTCCGACCGAATCTTTACATCGGGCGGTGGGCACAAATAAACAAGACCTGCTATTGTCTGCTTCAAATTGAAATAGCCAGTAGCGGCCGCTCGCTCGTCCCCCCCCCCCTTTCCTGCCCTCTCAGGCTGCTGTTTGGATCAAGGATCTGGTAAGGGATTTTAGGGGGGACCCTACTCTTTTTTTGGGGGGGGGGGCTTTGGGGTCCCCTCTAAAATTCCTACCAGACCTAGAGGGTCTGGTATGAATTCCTGGGGGAAACTGCACGCAGTTTTTGTTTTTATTGTTTCTGTGGAGTATCAAAAGTTAAAAGTAAACAAAGTAAACTTTTTGTGTGTAATTATTGTTTAACTGATCTGAAATGAATGAAAATGTGGATTCATCTGAATGCCGAAACAAATTGACTTTGAGACCGGAATCCCGGAAAAAAAAATAACGAAACATCCGAAACAAATTTTTTGCCAGCTTACATCTCTAGAGTGTGCTCCCAGCCAGGACCTGTGCAGAGCTGTTCTGATGTTCACTGTGTCTCTGTAACCGGGAGTGAACATAAAGCTCCTTTATGGGGGAGAGACAGCAAAAAAAAAGCTGTCAGCGATTTAAACCATTCCCTACTCCTAAAACGTAACCTTATTTCTCCCCCACCTATGACCCTTAACCTTTACACCCTGATTGTGCCTTATATCTTGACCACTCCTAAAGTGACGCTAAACATACCCTATTAACAATACTGTATCTTATTTGTGTATCACTCAGCTGTAGATCTTCAAATCATCTCCGAATTGGTGCTGACACTGTCCTTCCTTCTGGAGAGGAGGGGGTACTTTTGTTCCCCATGGTTCCTCTGCGTGTTGTAAAGTAGTCATCGCTTCAAGCTTGCTCCCATGTAGACTATAATTTCAGTACAAATTAGCATTCTAAATGTGAGATTTTAGTCCATCATGGTACTGAGCTTGGAGACATGGCAACTTTACAACACACACAGGGACCATGGGAAACAAAAGTAGCCACACTCCAGAAGGAAGGACAGTGTCAGCACCAATTCAGAGATGATTTGAGGATCTACA